ATAGTTGGGTGAAGTGAAGTCAACACATTCGTTAATTCGCATTCGCACAACGCGCGAAGCTCCACCTTGTAATGACTGAACGTTCGTGGCACATTAAACAAATTCGCCAGTTTCGTCCGAGTTTTGTCAACACTTTCAGCCGTGCTGGGCTGAGTCTCGCCGATCCCCAAGACAAGCGATATATCATCCGTCCTCCTGGCAAACATTCCGTTTGCCTTCGGGGACTAAATTCTACAGATGCACCCTGTCTGAGGGGGACTAATGGCTGCTTTTGCTCGCGCACGCCTATCGGTTAGTCCCAGTCGAGCACAGTTAGTCCCTAGCTTTTGCGTACGGTACCTAGCTTGAACCAGATGGTCCTTACGGGGAGCAACTGGAAGTTCAGAGGACCAAATGCCGCCGATAGTCGCTTGAGGCCAAGTTTTTTCTTAGACTGTGCGGCCAATCACATGCGGCGCCTGCAGCAATGGTGATATTGGTGCCATGGCAACGCTCAATGCCTCAATGCCTTCGGGGACTAAATTCTACAGATGCACCCTGTCTGAGGGGGACTAATGGCTGCTTTTGCTCGCGCACGCCTATCGGTTAGTCCCAGTCGAGCACAGTTAGTCCCTAGCTTTTGCGTACGGTACCTAGCTTGAACCAGATGGTCCTTACGGGGAGCAACTGGAAGTTCAGAGGACCAAATGCCGCCGATAGTCGCTTGAGGCCAAGTTTTTTCTTAGACTGTGCGGCCAATCACATGCGGCGCCTGCAGCAATGGCGATATTGGTGCCATGGCAACGCTCAATGCCTCAATGCCGCCACATTTGCAAGGAGCATAGTTCAGCAAATCAGCTCGGCTATTTTGTCTGCGTCCCCGAGCACGGCCATACTAGCGGAACGGCGGCTCGTGGCACGTGGTTTTGCCAGACACAAGGTGACACCAAAATCTGTTTTGCCACATAACAAGATTTCTCCGCCGTCGGGAAAACAGCGCTGCGTAAGTGCCTCTTTCTTTTGTGTGTGTGGTCTTGAGTGAGTGTTTTGCGGGTGCGCTGTTCCCCCAGTTCATCGGGAGAACGGTCTCCGCGCGATCTCTGCCTGCTATGAAATCACAGAAAATGGGGCCAATGATAGGTGACGGCTATATGACATAGTCATGTCATGGCCACGGCAGCCGCCACGAGCCGCGCTTTCACTTCCGGTACGAGCACGAGCAATCGCAACCAATCCAGTGCCAAATGCGTGCCATGTGACCTCGCGCTCCGCGAGTCGCTAGGTCACAGCGAGTAGTAACACACTTTCAGCGCAGGTTTGGCTTCGGTATGGCTTGTAACATCCGCCTGACATTTCAGCCATTTTCTAGTCCAGCTTGTGCTTGCAAAGTGCACGCGCTAGTGGCATCGCTCAGCGTGAGTGCGCACGCCATTCTCTGTATCATTCTAAGTACGAAACTGTGAACGTTGTCAAAGGCACGAGCACGATGTTTTCGTAGTGCAACTTAATTCTCCTTTTTCACAAACTTGGCCAAACCCAAAACCTGCATCGCCTTACCATTCGATCTCTGTAACTTTGCACAAACAAAGGGCAGAGTAGGGTAATCACATTAATAGTAGGACTTGTCATTCATACGCAGATATCACAAACACGTAGGCCAACAAGCAGTGATAATAATTATTCAGTGGTATTAACAGCTGTGCCGCCATAAATACCCAACACTTGGATACAAATAGTTTGAACGAGGACCGCCCGAGAAGTCAGAAGGATTAAAAGCACGTTCATTTCTTATTCGTCAATAATTTATTCGTGATGCGTTTTTAGAGGTTGGAAAACCACACCTCTAACCATAAATCATTGCAAGAGATTATAATTTTCTTGACGCAGACGGAAAAGTTGCCTCCGTGAGGAGGTTCGAACTCGGTGTGATGTCACTTCTCCGTACTATATAATTATTTTGTCATGTCTAGTCTATAGTCAATGTATATAAACATGAACACGGAAAGTATATAAAGACGTGGTGATAAAAAAATTGTCGCATTTATAGCGTCTAGTTTATATACTTCGGCTGTATCAAAGTGTATACAAAATTTAATAAAAATATACCTACGGCGTGACTGGATAGTAATTTGAAACAGTCGTTAAAATGTAAATACTATTTTTAGAGTCTACTTGAATTCTTTTTTTTTTGTAAGGGTGGTGAACACTTTTCAAATGTACTCGCCATTCGTTGCTTCTCGTTGGTGGTGACTATAGTGATTGAGCTTCTACATATGCCGTTGTTTTTTTTAAATTATACATACATTGAATCGTTCCAATAATGAGGTAATTGCATGTTTTAGTTATATACTAGCAGTTACAGTGTGTGCATTTTTGAAACTCTTGTGCTTAGAAACACCACAATCAATGCATAGGTAGACATGAATTTATTCAATTGTCTTTTGTTAGAGATGATTTAAGCCTCAGTTTTCTATGGGATACTTTCCGGCAATCGCTTGATCAATACACCGTCCACTTCTGCATTGGCCGGGCCCATTGTTGAACTGCAAAGCAAGGGGGATTTGCGGTAAAATATATTTTAATAGTATGAGTGAACAAATAGTTTCATTGAAGTTATACTCGTTTTCACTTCATGAAACGTAACAAAACTCTTCGTCTCACGTTTTCTCTATGTTAGCTCTGTAGAAGCACCCGACGGCAAAAATTCGACCTTTCCCAGTTTCCTCAAAATTGCTGACTCAACACTGAGACAACGTTGACACAAGCACTGATGCAGCCCTAACTTCGGACTTTCTCAGCGTTGCACTGCCTGTGTCAGCCGGGGCTGTACGTAGGTTTTAAAGTAGGTATCTGCAAATTTTATAAACCCCTGCTTTAAAAACGCCCAAAATAATCTATTTCTGACACTAAAACTGTGAAAAAAACTCTTACCTAAATCGGTTATAAAGAACCTCTTGAAGGAGGCTTTCTTGCAGGAATTTGCGATAGATATGAGCGCACTCGAAGAGTGCTTTGATTGCCTGAAACTTTAGTCTTTCATTGGAGAGTTCTAATGATGGTTTGATAAAAGCTGTGTCTACCAGGCTTTTTCTTTTTTCCGAAGTGGTTCGCTTCAAATTTTACTAGAACCTCCTGTACAAAATAGAGGACGTGACAAAGCACTTAAAAGGACCACTGGCAATAGTTGTTATTGTCGCAAAGCATATGAAGGGTCCTTAGGTATCGTTCAAATCTTTTAGGCTCCAGAGCCGTAAAGAAGGAACTTTAATAAGGCAGGTTTGAAACTCCCGCCAAAAAGAACGATGTAGATGTAAAAAGGGTGCACATATTGTCTTTTTAGGTTCCTTCCGACAAGAAATGTTGTTTAACTTACTATTTTTTCTTATAAATTATCATGGGAATGGCAGGATTGGGAGTGTAAGCTGATTTCTTTCTGCTTGATTTTGGACTTTTTTTGCCGAGCACCTGCACGTGCCCTTTTTCGACGTAAAGTCGACGCAACACTGTTCAGTTTAAACGTTTTCTTTTAGCAGTTTTCTACTTAAAATCTCTTGAGCGCTTTTTGTTTACATGGTTGAAGAGTAAGGTAACGTGCTGCAGACCTCTTTGAGTGACGCGATCTATAACGCAAAGCTCTTGATCGCTCTATTCCTCTCTGGGAGGTAAATGTTATCCGACACCAAAAAAAAAAAAAAAAAAAAAACTCCTTTCAGTTGACACCGACTTACCGAATGTCCCCATCCTTCTCAACGCCTTTAGCATTGTCGCCAAGCGCCGAAATATTCGGTGTAAAAATAAATATATTTTATGGTTAATAGTTAGAAAAAGAACTTGTTCGGACGGGTAAATTCGGTACAAAAATAATGTGTTTCTGCTGCATTCTTTGGGGCTTGTGGCGAACTTTGCAGTTACTCTCAGCAGTTACTAGTCCAGCTTGTGCTTGCAAAGTGCACGCGCTAGTGGCATCGCTCAGCGTGAGTGCGCACGCCATTCTCTGTATCATTCTAAGTACGAAACTGTGAACGTTGTCAAAGGCACGAGCACGATGTTTTCGTAGTGCAACTTAATTCTCCTTTTTCACAAACTTGGCCAAACCCAAAACCTGCATCGCCTTACCATTCGATCTCTGTAACTTTGCACAAACAAAGGGCAGAGTAGGGTAATCACATTAATAGTAGGACTTGTCATTTATACGCAGATATCACAAACACGTAGGCCAACGAGCAGTGATAATAATTATTCAGTGGTATTAACAGCTGTGCCGCCATAAATACCCAACACTTGGATACAAATAGTTTGAACGAGGACCGCCCGAGAAGTCAGAAGGATTAAAAGCACGTTCATTTCTTATTCGTCAATAATTTATTCGTGATGCGTTTTTAGAGGTTGGAAAACCACACCTCTAACCATAAATCATTGCAAGAGATTATAATTTTCTTGACGCAGACGGAAAAGTTGCCTCCGTGAGGAGGTTCGAACTCGGTGTGATGTCACTTCTCCGTACTATATAATTATTTTGTCATGTCTAGTCTATAGTCAATGTATATAAACATGAACACGGAAAGTATATAAAGACGTGGTGATAAAAAAATTGTCGCATTTATAGCGTCTAGTTTATATACTTCGGCTGTATCAAAGTGTATACAAAATTTAATAAAAATATACCTACGGCGTGACTGGATAGTAATTTGAAACAGTCGTTAAAATGTAAATACTATTTTTAGAGTCTACTTGAATTCTTTTTTTTTTTGTAAGGGTGGTGAACACTTTTCAAATGTACTCGCCATTCGTTGCTTCTCGTTGGTGGTGACTATAGTGATTGAGCTTCTACATATGCCGTTGTTTTTTTAAATTATACATACATTGAATCGTTCCAATAATGAGGTAATTGCATGTTTTAGTTATATACTAGCAGTTACAGTGTGTGCATTTTTGAAACTCTTGTGCTTAGAAACACCACAATCAATGCATAGGTAGACATGAATTTATTCAATTGTCTTTTGTTAGAGATGATTTAAGCCTCAGTTTTCTATGGGATACTTTCCGGCAATCGCTTGATCAATACACCGTCCACTTCTGCATTGGCCGGGCCCATTGTTGAACTGCAAAGCAAGGGGGATTTGCGGTAAAATATATTTTAATAGTATGAGTGAACAAATAGTTTCATTGAAGTTATACTCGTTTTCACTTCATGAAACGTAACAAAACTCTTCGTCTCACGTTTTCTCTATGTTAGCTCTGTAGAAGCACCCGACGGCAAAAATTCGACCTTTCCCAGTTTCCTCAAAATTGCTGACTCAACACTGAGACAACGTTGACACAAGCACTGATGCAGCCCTAACTTCGGACTTTCTCAGCGTTGCACTGCCTGTGTCAGCCGGGGCTGTACGTAGGTTTTAAAGTAGGTATCTGCAAATTTTATAAACCCCTGCTTTAAAAACGCCCAAAATAATCTATTTCTGACACTAAAACTGTGAAAAAAACTCTTACCTAAATCGGTTATAAAGAACCTCTTGAAGGAGGCTTTCTTGCAGGAATTTGCGATAGATATGAGCGCACTCGAAGAGTGCTTTGATTGCCTGAAACTTTAGTCTTTCATTGGAGAGTTCTAATGATGGTTTGATAAAAGCTGTGTCTACCAGGCTTTTTCTTTTTTCCGAAGTGGTTCGCTTCAAATTTTACTAGAACCTCCTGTACAAAATAGAGGACGTGACAAAGCACTTAAAAGGACCACTGGCAATAGTTGTTATTGTCGCAAAGCATATGAAGGGTCCTTAGGTATCGTTCAAATCTTTTAGGCTCCAGAGCCGTAAAGAAGGAACTTTAATAAGGCAGGTTTGAAACTCCCGCCAAAAAGAACGATGTAGATGTAAAAAGGGTGCACATATTGTCTTTTTAGGTTCCTTCCGACAAGAAATGTTGTTTAACTTACTATTTTTTCTTATAAATTATCATGGGAATGGCAGGATTGGGAGTGTAAGCTGATTTCTTTCTGCTTGATTTTGGACTTTTTTTGCCGAGCACCTGCACGTGCCCTTTTTCGACGTAAAGTCGACGCAACACTGTTCAGTTTAAACGTTTTCTTTTAGCAGTTTTCTACTTAAAATCTCTTGAGCGCTTTTTGTTTACATGGTTGAAGAGTAAGGTAACGTGCTGCAGACCTCTTTGAGTGACGCGATCTATAACGCAAAGCTCTTGATCGCTCTATTCCTCTCTGGGAGGTAGATGTTATCCGACACCAAAAAAAAAAAAAAAAAAAAACTCCTTTCAGTTGACACCGACTTACCGAATGTCCCCATCCTTCTCAACGCCTTTAGCATTGTCGCCAAGCGCCGAAATATTCGGTGTAAAAATAAATATATTTTATGGTTAATAGTTAGAAAAAGAACTTGTTCGGACGGGTAAATTCGGTACAAAAATAATGTGTTTCTGCTGCATTCTTTGGGGCTTGTGGCGAACTTTGCAGTTACTCTTTTCATACTTTTATATTTCTTTGCTTATAAGGATAGAAACAAAAAAAAAGTAGGATATCGGAGCATGCGAGGACTTTAGAAGCACGAAACTCTTATCGGAAAGACTACTGGATAAAGGAAAAGCTAGTGCTTAGAGTTTTGAGGCTCGGATCTGCAACAGTGTAATCTGAAGGACTTTCCTTTTCTGCCGGTTGACATAGCAGACACCGTACCAGTCGATATATTTGTGTTGGTCGGATTATACAGTATCTTGAAGAGCCGTATGGTAGTGGGGCATGTCAACGTAGATGTACACCTGCAAGCCGGTACGTTTCTCAGATCATCATACAAATTCGAGAGGTGTGCCAAGCTTTGAGAGATGCCTCAGATCGGTTGCCTGCCCTCAACGGGCTGTTCGACTTTAGATCCGTCTAGTCAATCATTTTTGGCCATAACTCGGCTGGTGTGTTGGCAAAATGTTACCCTGCGTTAGTTTTTTGTGCAGTGAAAATATTGTGAGAATAACAAGGACGGTAAGCTAGCTTTGTTTGCCTTTGTTGTTCGAACCCGTTCAAACGCCGAACGATAGCGTCGGACAATCCACTTTTACGTCCGCTAAGACCCGTTCGGTGCCGACAGTCTACCCTACCACTTTGGCGAATCGAAAAAAACACAAAAAAAAAACTAATTTGACGTGGAACAAGGCGAAAAGAAAAACTTCTACGGCGAAGTCGTAGTATTGGCCGCATAATCGTGGGGTCGTCGTTTCGATTCTCGTTGGCGGCGTTTAGGATTTATTGCGGTATTCTACAAATATTACCATTTATTCTCCATTATGTGTTCTTTTGTACACATTGATTGTCACCTTAAAGGGGCGGTGCAACGATTTTATAATTAAAAGAATTTGCATCTCGTCATTTATACGTTGCTTATCGTGTCCCAGAGGATAGAGAAAACACCTCCTTTATTAAAAATGTCGCGATTCCGCTGCATAATCGCAAAGCAAAAGTCGAGCTTTTTCCCCCACCTGCAGCCCCAAGTGGCAGCCGAAGGAACTACGGCGGAAAGATTACGTGACCTCGCTCGGCTCTAAGCTGCAGCCTAGCGCCCGCTAATGTACGCAGAGAAAGGGAGGGGAAGCGTCCTCCGAGATAGCAACGGGAAGCTACACGGCACTCCGAATGACGTCACTGGGAGTGCGACCACGTGTGACCCTGAAGACTGGGAGTGAGTTGAGGGGTGCCCGAAATGCCAATCTTTATCTTTTTTTTTACGCAGCAACCAGGACACGCAGGCGAAATCGGTTTTCTGTTCTTTACTTCAGAAGTTTCAGGGGGCAACTTTCAGAAATCTTTGACCGAAGTCCGGAAATCGTTGCACCGCCCCTTTAAGTACGGGTTGCGCATTAGGACCCGGTTCGTGTCGCGTTCCTTTACACGTTTTAAACACGTTCTGTGTTCAAACCAAGAAACTGCCGATGCCTCGCCAGAACCACTTCTCTACTGAAAGTTTTGATACTTCAAATTCAGCGGTGTAAGTGTACTAACAATTGTTACACGAATGTGCAACTTTCGACATCTTAAAATTTCTGACAAATGCCTTCGCCTTCTATGTCATCGAGCAAAATAATAAATAAACAAGCGAGGAGGAGTCGGATTGGGGGAAGGAGGTCGTGCATTCTTCACGGGCTCATCCTTTCGCTCAAAGATTAGAATTTTATTTTCGCTATGAACTTTTTTTCGGTATAGTGTCATTTGCTCCTGAAGCGCTTGATAAAAGAAAACGCATCAATGCTGTGGCTGTCAGTGGCCCTTTAAGGCTGAATGTGTTAAGTTTTGCTAGTTGGTTGTTCATGACTGGAAGGAAGCGCCGAAAGACAGGGACGAAAGAAGTAGGTAACGACGACACGACGCTATTTCAGACAGTTTTGTTTAATTGTGACCAAGTACGTTCTGATCACTTGTTAGTGCTTACGACAAGATGGTACACTAGTGTCATCTGTCGGTCACCCCAGAAACACTGGAGGTTTGCATATACTTGTTTATATTAACTCACTATTATTTTACCACTTAAAATAATCCTAAACATGTTTTAATCGAGCATTGCTAATAAAAAGTGGATAAATTTGGTTTCGCAAATACGGTCCAACTTAAGTGTAGTTAAGCGGATGTCGGAAGAGTTCCACGGCTATCTTATAGATGACGCCAGTGTGTAGGCATGATCTCCTGTCGTAAACTGTCAAAAGTGATCGGAACGCTGTCGGCCGCATTCGAACGTAAATATGTGGACCAGCTTTATCGAGCTTTGCCTTCACTTATCTATAATGCATTTGAAACCATTCGACTGGGCCCTTACTGGTACGTTTTTAGTAGAACTCACGTTGCATTGATTGTAATCCTTGTAGATCCCGTAGAAATATCCCTCTTCTCCAGCTTCACTTTTCTTGCAAATATACATGCACTTGTCCACGGGATCCCTCTGAGGAATGTATATTACAAAGCGACATGACTCACTCTTGATCAAATGGCATTACCATTTCCTTCATGACATCATTTGGATAGATATACGTGGTGTTTCAGGTGGATGGCGCAAAAAAATTAAAAAGAGCTTGAGCAGACTACATGTGTCGAAACAACGCAGTATTGTTCACAGTCTCATTGAACGAGTCTTGGTAATTTTGTAATTAACACAAGTAGCTAATTAACAAACATTATGCAGCTGAAGTTTTAAGAATTTATTTGTGCACCAACCCTCTAATACAAAAGTTGTAAAACCCGTTTGAACACATCCAATCGCGTTGTTTTTACTGAGGGTAGCCGTCATTAATCTAATGGTTTTAAACCTTTAAAAAGGCTTGAGAGATCTGAAAAGAAAAGAAATTCACGTGACTGCGTCACTTGTGATTTTTTAATTTCGAGGTTTAAGGGCACCTAGAAAGGAACTAAAACACGAGAACCATCTTGTTGAAAACGACACGATATGTTTTTAAACGCGATTCACATCATTTGCGTCCCAGGTAGCACACCATGTCGGCCGATACTGGGATTACGTCGGCCAGTACCGGGAGCTGTACGGCGGATCCCGGCCAGGGACGCCGGTAAGAAACCGATCCCGGCCGATATCGGGGACTCGTTGTCTAAACTGGCCAGCGCCAGCCGGAAAGTTCCCGATGCCGGCCGACATCGTTTTCTTGCTGTAGTCACCGGCCAGTCTAGCCGTGGAGTTTCCGGTGACTGGCCGATATCGTTTTCTTGCTGTAGTCGCTGGCCAGTCTAGCCATGGAGTTTCCGGTGACTGGCCGACATCGTTTTCTTGCTGTAGTCACCGGCCAGCCTAGCCATGGAGTTTCCGGTGACTGGCCGATATCGTTTTCTTGCTGTAGTCACTGGCCACTCTAGCCATAGAGTTTCCGGTGACTGGCCGACATCGTTTTCTTGCTGTAGTCAGCGGCCAGTCTAGCCGTGGAGTCTCCGCTGACTGGCCGACATTGTTTTCTCTCTGTAATCACCGGCCAGTTCAGCCACGGAGTTTTCGATGACTGACCGACATCGTTTTATCGCTGCTTTCACAGGCCATTCGAGCCATGCAAGTTTTGATATGTAACCGACATGGCTTTTTCGCTGATATAGAAACTATATGATGGTTACAAATGACCGTTAGGTTGGACATGTCTTCAATATGCTAAAAGGTGACACCTAATATTATCCTTGGCCTAGTATTAACGCCGCATCATCCTTAAACCAGTTAAGAAAGGCTTATTTCAGTTTTGTTAAAAAAGACGGGATCAAACATGGCTGTGGAATGAAAATTCAATTTGGTTTACATCTATTAATTTTTTAGAGAGCAGCTCTTAGACGCCCGTTTCCGGCTTGAGCGGCATCGCCGTCGCAGTCGCCGTCGGCGTAACCGCGCGTTGCATTATGGGAAACGTCCCATAATGACGGCGTGTGCGCGTTGCATTATGGGAAGCGTCCCATGATGCAACGCGCGGTCGGCGACGGCGACGCCAACATCGCCGTCGGCGTAACCGCGCGTTGCGTTATGGGAAACGTCCCATAATGCAACGCGCCGTCTCATTTGTGACCCGCGCATTGCATTATGGGAAGCGTCTCATGATGCAACGCGCGGGTCGGCGACGCCAACGTCGCCGTCGGCGTAACCACGCGTTGAGTTATGGGAAACGTCGTATAATGCAATGTGCAGTCTCATTCGTGACCCGCGCATTGCATTATGGGACGTTTCCTATGATGACATCACAATTGACGTCACATGTGACGTCACAAGGGTCCCGCACGTTGCATTATGGAAAAAGTCCAATGATGCAACGCGCGGGTCACTCGTGACCTGCGCGTTGCATCGTGGCGGCGAAACTTGCTTTCGATGAGTTGGGCATTTTTACTGCGGCACTGCGCTTCCGTAGAAATTTCCACATGTTCTCAACGGCAAGTCTCAGGGCTTACGCAGGGTTTTAAAGAGCTTCTTCGACGATTGACTACGAACGAGTAGAAAACGTGTCTTCAGCATGTTGCCGCCAGCCTCCGAAACGCTCCAAAAACGCGATTTTTCAACATGCAAAATCGCCGATCGGTGGCTTCACTCTCGTGCTGCAGCTGCAGCGACCAAGCGGGGATGCGCGATCCAGCCCTTTGCCCAGGCAGATGCCGAGCGCTCCGCGCAAGCGGTCGTTCAGCGGTCGGCCTCAGTAGGCGATCCACCCAGTTGCACGCGCTGCCACCGCTTTCATAGCGTCTGCCCTCGCTTTTTAACAGTTTCGGTTCCCATTGCTATTTTGCTGAAAGCATGAAGTTCTGATCGGAACTTCATGCTTTGATAAAATGTCCTGCCGTCGTGGCGCTGTACGTTTTGCAAAGGGGCTGTTATGCAATACCAAACACGCATGCCGTAAAGCGACCGTCATCTCCGCAGGCGAGTTCCATCTGAGGGGAATTTGTCGTATTGTCTTCTAGCAAACGACATACCTAGCTCTTCATCCGAACAGGTGTGCACAACGTCTTCGACGTAACGCCATATCTTGGGCCTCTTCGCTGGCAAGGCGAATGAGTCGGCAAAGACTTCGCCGAGAACGGCTGCCTCGTCGTCACTCGAGCTGGAGCTAAGCTGGTATCTTCGTCGCTGTCGCTGATTTCGCTGCTACTGCGTTTTATTAGACGATGTCAGCGCCGCAGTATGCTCGGGCCAGTCGGTCATGACAAGAGGAGCGAAAGCAAGCACAGCAAGAGAGCCCACCCACCAATCGAAACAAAAAAACAGCGAAACTCCTTCATTTCCCCGCGGCAACGTTGATAACGAAACTGAAATGTTGCGAGTGACTATAGATCGTACACCCCCGAAAAAGGCTGCGAGGAGAACTACTCCGGGTCCGAGCGGTCTGTCCGAGGAAGACACAGTTCGGGCGGCACATTCGTTTTTTACATCATTCTGCATGATCGTAATCGAAACATCACGTGCACCCTATATTCAACCAGAAAGGGTCACTACTTCCATAAACCCCTGCGTGCAACACGGCGCGCGTTGCTCTTTGGGAACTAGTTGGCCAGGGAGGAGAGTGGCATGGTTTCGGTTTCGATCGGCAGCGTGGACTATTAACGGCCGTGATCTCACGTTTTTTGGTCTCGAGAGCATCATTTTTGGTCTCTAAACTAACCTAAATGGCCAGACCTCGAATCTATAGCACAAGCCCGAGACGTATAGCTTGCCTTCACACATGCTTGTTGTATTTTTATACTCTATCGAGCCTTTCTGTTTGCGTTTCGAGATATACGTGAACGAGCCAGTGCTGGGAATCTTGACGCTGCGTAGCTCGGGTATCTTGCTTGTGTACGAGTCAACAAGCTGTAACGACCAATAAGTTTGCATACATCGAGCTCGCACCTTTACAGCTGGTCAGGAAGTTTGTTTGTTTTATGCGTCCATAGACGAAATAATATTTTTTGCACCTACTGTTTTTCTTAATACGCCTGAGTACGTGAGGTAAAACTTGGAGGCACCATTGAAAAGCTCAATTTGAACACACATCTTATCTCTTATCTGTACTGACTGCACGAAGCTAAGTCCCCACCCGCTTGCATTCCGCTAATATTCAACATCACGTATGCACATAAATTTTTTCTGCAATCATATAGGCACATTCCCCCACACAAACCGTTTTAAGAAAGCAAAAGTCGAGCAATTGTGTGAAGAACGTCGCACCGTTCGCCGGAAGTGCGTCGGACGGGCGTGAACCTCTATGCGGTGTGCCAAAGGAACGAAATTATTCAAAGCGCATTTGACGGTTGGTAATGGCCGTAATATTTATGTGTTTGCTTTCTTCCTGACTGAGTATGCCGAGATAATTTCAGACACACCGTTTAGACACAAATCTTGGGCGTCAGTAAAAGCTCGTCCAAAAAGGCTTAGCGAAGAGTAGGAGACGCTTGTTAGAGCCTCCGTCGTAGCTAGCCGACCTCAGCGTTTGCGAAGACCTAATCTCCTATCAGCGTAAAATTTGAGTGGGCGATATATGATGACACGAGGAAGACACCATAGTAATTTGTGTGCAGGGAAATTGCCCCAGTTTTCGTTTTGTCAACCATTTCGTCGTTTACCCTGAGACTGGGTTTTTTTTTTTTGAAGAGCAGAAGTAACAGAAAAAAACAGACAGGTCTCAGGGTAAACGACGAAATGGTTGACAAAACGAAAACTTCCACCAGCTAGCCTGTACTTTGACTCTTTTCTCGTTTCGTTTTGTATCGTTCGAGAATGAATGTATTGTACGTTCGTGAAAAGTCAGATCATCGAAAACTCAAGCGGCGCATTCGGTCACGGCGTGATAGCATGAAAGGAAGCTGCTCAATCGAAACCGAAACTGAGTGGCCAACTAGTTCCCAGAGGGCACTTCGTCGAAGCGTCGTGTACTTCTTTGTGCCCCCGTTTTTTTTTTTTTTTTTTTTGTTTCTTTTTATAGAGTAGCACAGTAGCACAATTATATATTTCCGACTTCGTGTTGAGACTAGAACAGACCTCATCCAGCATCGAGCCAGCTGTTGATAGACTTTGCTAGAAAGCCGATCCAGCATCCAATCCAAAGCCGGACAAGGTGAGCAAACACAAATGGCGAGCGGGACGTTGGCGTGGTTCGCGGCATGGTTCAGGTACGGTGGCTCCAGGGTTGAAAAATTGTATGTGACCGTGGTGGCGAGTGAAAGCGCTGCATGTAAATCTATGCGGGGCAGAAGTCGCTCGAAGTTACCGCCTGTGCTTTGATTTTGATGTTCGTGTTCTGTCGGTTTCGTCGTATGTAGGCCTAGTGAACCAACTTCCGCTCAACAACGCTTGCTGGTGGTTGACTCGACGGTGTTGACGGCCTTTCGCCGTATCCCGACGATCGTTTCGTCGTGATGTCCCGCAAGACGGAGTAGCCGTCAAGTAAGAGAAAGTACGAGCAGCAGGAAAGGGATGCGACCGCGTATTATTTCGTA